CCCCTTTCTCTCTCTCCCTCCCCTTCTCTCCTCCTCCCACTTCCCCCTATCCCTACCCATTCCTATTTAGTTTTTTTGTTTGTTTGTAATGAAAAAATTTTTTTTTCTTTAATAATAATAAATTTTTTTGGTTAAAAAAAAAATTTTTTTTTGGTCACTGCAGAAGCTGGTTGAAATTAAAAAAAAAAAAAAAAAAAGGGAAAATCAATAGTTAAAGTCGGTTTGGCACGCGATATATATAAGTTTCTACTTCTTATCAGGGGGAGGAATGGGGATGGGGAGGGAGGAATGGGGGGAGTCTTGTTCATTGCGCTGCGACCTGTATAAACTTCACCTTATAACCTACCTAACATATTATCCTTCATTTTTTTTTAAAATACAAAAAAAAGTTAAAGAGAGGATACATTTTAAAAAAAAAAAAAATGTATTTAAGGTTTCTCTCTTTTTTTTTTTTTTTTTTTCATTAATCGATAATTAAACCGAAAGAAGTTTTTAATCTTTAAATCAATAAATTTAAATCTTTTCTTCCTTAAACCTTTCCTTAAACCTTTTCCATATGTAATATTTCGATATTATTTATTCAATATCGATTTTTTATAAAAAAAATTTTTTTTCTCTTTATTTTACACCACATTAAAAGAAAAAAGAAAAATTATGAGATAAACATACGAAATAAATTTTCTTTTTCCCGGGAAATTAATTTAAATTAATTTTTTTGTTTTGTTTTGTTTTCAATGAGAAAATTTCATAAAGTAAAGTAAAAAAAATAATTAAATATTAATAGAAAATTAATAATTAATAATTATTATATACATTCGTAAAAATTTTCTCATTTTTTTTAAAAATTAAAAAAGTTGTTGTTATATAAAAAAGGTTACATAATTTACATAATTTTTTATTAATTAATTAATTTTTTTTTTGTTTTTTCAGACGTTTTGTGTTGTTTCTAAACGTTTTCGTAAAAATTACATTCATCGATTTGCCGCAACGAGATCGTTTTTCATATTTTCCCCATGGAATCCCGTACGTCAAACCTGTATTTTCCTTTCGACAAATCAACTTTTTGATTACGTGGTTATGACAACAATTTTACTTAATTGTGTTTTTCTCGCTATGACGGAGCCTGTAGAAGAAGCTGAGTAAGTTATGTCATACAATAACAAAAAACAAAAAACAACAGAAACAAAAACAACAGCAAAAAACTTTTGCATAAACACGTAAATAAATCTTTCATATTGAAAAAGCAGAAAAAAAAAGAAAATTATTTTTTTAACATTTTGGAAAATTAAAAACTTACTGGAGTATGATGATATATATTTTCCTACAGAAAAAATTATATTACTATTTTTGACTGCATTATTATTATTATTATTTAAATATACTCTTTTTTCTTTAATAAATCATTATGCGCCAAAAAAAATTCAAGAAAAAATAAATTCAAAAAAATTTTCCGTTTTCTTTTGTTATAAGTAATAAAATGAATTTTCTTGTAAACAACTCAAACAAAGTTAAAAAAACAAAAAGTAATAAAAATATTGGAAAATTTTTTTCTTTTTTTCTTTTTTTTTCTTTAATAAATTTGAAAAAAGAAAAACAACATGACCGTATTTATTTAAAATATTTGTTTTGAAAAATAACAAAACCAAATCTAACGTTAGTAATTTATAAAAAAAAAAAAAAGAAGAAAATATTAAAAAAAAAAAAAAGACATGGAACGTTTTGTTTATTTATATATATATTTTACAATGTATATACCTTTTTTCATTATTATTATTATTATTAATTTAAGTCTAAAAATAAAATTCACGGAAAAAGTTTTAATTATAATATTAGATTTAAAAACCTTTTTTTCTCCCCCCCCTTTGCTTTATACATACGGAAAATTTTTTGTTTGCTTTTTCAACTAATAAAAAAAAAAAAAAAAAAAAAAAACTTATTTACGAACTAAAACAATTTTTATGTTTTATTATTTTTTTTGAAAGAAAATAAACATTATTTATTGCTTACACTAAACACACAGAGGAAAATTTTTAACGTTGTTAATTATTACACATTTATAAAAGGCTATATATATATATATATAAAAAAAGTGATTTAATATATTATTATCTTTGTTTTGAGGTTTTTCTTTTTTTTTTTTAATGCTGTTCTTTTAACATTCTGTTTTCAGATTTGTTTTTCTTGCAATATACACAGCCGAAATGATAATAAAAGCAATAGCAAAAGGTTTTATATTAAATAAATACACATACCTCAGGAATCCATGGAACTGGTTAGATTTCGTTGTCATAACTTCCGGTTATGCGACTATCGGTATGGAAGTTGGAAATTTAGCCGGATTAAGAACTTTTAGAGTTTTAAGAGCTTTGAAAACAGTTTCGATAATGCCAGGTAATATGAAAATAATAATAATATAATAATATAATATAATAATAATATAATAATTTTTCTAGGATTAAAAACTATAATTAACGCTCTCCTTCATTCATTCAAACAATTAGCAGAAGTCATGACATTGACTATTTTTTGCCTGATGGTTTTTGCTTTGTTTGCACTTCAAGTCTACATGGGAGAACTTAGAAATAAATGCGTTAAAATAGATAAGGAAAATGTAACCGGAAATGAATGGGTTAAATCGTTGTGGAATACGGATAACTGGTTAAAAAATGATGATGATAGTCCTGTGGTATGTGGGAATGCAACGGGTGCAAGGTATCTAAATTCAAATTTAATTCCTTTTATATTTACAGTCGTTTAACTATCAAATATGGATGACATTACACAGCAATATTTATGATTTTAACCCCTCTTTTTTTTCAGACACTGTCCATTTGGTTATGTGTGTCTTAGAGTAGGTGAAAATCCAAATTACGGGTTTACTAATTTTGACAATTTTTTATGGTCAATGCTCACAACTTTTCAGTTAATTACTTTAGATTACTGGGAAAACGTTTATAATATGGTAAACATACTCAATCATGATAAAAACCGTTATTTATGTTTTTAATTTTTTTTGCTTAAATCAAACAAAATGGAGATAAATAAATCTTTTTTTTTTTTGTTTGTTTTTTAAGGTTATTAGCTCAAGCGGTCCCGTGAGCGTAGTTTTTTTTACCGTTGTCGTATTTTTCGGTTCATTTTATTTAATTAATTTGATGTTGGCTGTGGTAGCGTTAAGTTATGAAGAAGAAGCTGAAATAACTCAAGAGGTAATATATATTTAAAAATTATATGTCAAAATCTTAATAAATCAAATCATAAAACATTTTAAATTTAAAATTATTGTCTGGAAAGTAATAAAAGTACAATAATGGTTACCGTTAAACTTGTTGATACTTTTAAATGTCACATTTTTCGTTAATATATATTTCAGGAACGTAGGAAGGATCTCGTAGATCATCGAGACGATTCAACCTTTAGTTTCGATCCCGCCTCATTAGATGTCAAACAACTAGATAAAAATAATAAAAAAAAAATTGATTCTAAAAAAGGTGTTTTATTATCATCGTATACTCGAAAAAAAACAAAACGTCGAAAAGGGAGAGTCAAAGAAGGAAATAATGATAATAGTAATAACGAATTAAATGTTAAAAAACAAGTTACAAATACTAATGATCAACAATCTAATTTAAATACTCAGACACCTGTTTCTAGACCTACAGTTTTAGAATTAGATAATTCAAATAATCAATCAGAAAAAGAAGCATTAATGCAATCAACAACAACAGCAACAACAGTTCAACAGACGGAAGCTGTTTCAGGTATGATATCCATGGTAAAAAATAATTAATTAGTTTTTATAATTGTAATTAAAATTTTTTTTTTTTTTTTTTAGAATTAAAGAAAAAAAAACAGTTGAAAAATATTGGACTTAAAAATACAATTAAAGAATCGTCTTTGGATGATTCAGGTGTTGTAGATGATCACGATGAAAACGATGGTGATGATAATTCTACCGTTCAGGTGAGACAGTAAAACAAAAATTACAAAAAGAGGTTAAAAGCTTTTGAAATTTACACGATTATGTTATTTTAGAAAATGCAATCAGTTACAATAGCCGTGAGAACAAAAGAAAAAGAAATAAGAATATTAAAATGTAATGGCGTTAACTCAGGGCAGGACCCAAAAAAAATTTTAAAAGAACAATTGTACACATTGCCATCGGATTACTTATCGCATGTTGTTGTTCTTGACGATTTGATTGATAGAAATTGTGAAACGTGTATGACTTGCTGCGTGGATTATGATGGATGGCTAAGGTTCCCTCATTTAATTTTAACTTTTTTTTAAATTAAAATTGTTTCGTTCGATTCATTTTTAAAACTTTTTTTTTTTTTTTTTTTTTTTAGGTTTCAAAATTGTTTGTATAAATTTGTACGAGACCCCCTATTCGAATTACTCATAACCGTTTGCATTGTATTAAATACAATGTTTCTTGCAATGGAACATCATGGAATGAGTGATTCAGTACGTCAGGCCCTTGATATTGGAAACAAAGTCGGTAGATCAACGAAGTCAACCCGTTTGCTACCAATTGTTTTTTAAATTAAATTTTTATTTTCAGGTTTTTACTTCCATATTTACTTTCGAGTGCTTCCTAAAACTATTAGCTCTAAGCAAAGAATTTTTTGATTGCGGTTGGAATATATTTGATTTAATTATAGTTTCAGCTAGCCTCTTAGATCTTTCCATAGAAATATTAGATGGCCTAACCGTACTTCGAGGTTTGAGATTAGTGAGTACAATTTATAATAGCATAATAATAATAATAATAATTAAAATCTCAAAATATTTATATTATAAAGTAAAAAAAAAATTTCGTTAAAATGACAATTAGTTAGAGCAAGTTTTTTCTAATAATAACAATTAGTTAAGAGTTCTCAAACTAGCTCAGTCTTGGACGACAATGAAAGTTTTGCTAAGCATCATCATATCGACAATAGGAGCCTTAGGAAATTTGACTTTCGTTCTCGTCATTGTCATTTACATATTTGCCGTAATAGGAATGCAATTATTTTCCAAAGATTACACTTATGAAAAATTTGCACCCGATCCAGTTCCCAGGTAAATTTTTTACCTTTTTTTTCTTACTCGTAAAAACTTAAAAATTTAAATTTTTTTGCGATGGTTTGAAACTTTTTTACTTTTCAAGATGGAATTTCAATGATTTTTTTCATTCGTTTATGATGATTTTTCGAATCCTTTGCGGTGAATGGATCGAACCATTATGGGATTGCATGCGAGCAGAATCTGAGGAAGGAGGAGCAAAAACTTGTTTTTTTATTTTTCTTCCTGCTCTAGTTATGGGAAATTTTATGGTTTTAAATCTTTTCTTGGCTTTGTTGCTCAATAGTTTTAATTCGGAAGAATTAAAAAATAAAAAAGAGGTAAGAGCGTGTTTTATTGTTTATTAACTTGTCAATTGTTCCAAAAAAATAAATTATAATTACTTTTTTTTGTTGCAGGAAGTAGGAGAGGATTCGCAAATAACAAAAAGTTTCGAAAGGATAAGATCCATCGTGAATAAAAAAAAATTTAAAAAAGGAATCGGAAAAAAATTTGAAACGTTCAAATTAGAAAATACCCTTCAAGAATTATTAAAAAAAAATAGTGGTCAACAAACGGTAGTTAAAAAAGAAAGTCCCAAACAAATTGACGATGTTATTAAATCGGATACGTTGAAAGATGAAGCCTTATTAACTCCTGAAAATGATATTTTAAGCCTTAAAACAAGACTATCGTTAACAAGTCTCAGCGATCAACTTCAAGAAGTTTTGAATGAAAAAATTAAAAGTTTACATTCTAGCAGGGACCAAATTCTTGTTCAAAATTCTCCCACAGACAATAAATATGTTTTACCAGAAGATAATAAAGATCCACTTTCTACGAATCGTTTCAGTCCCGGTTGTGATACCTGTTTTAGTTATTCGCCAAAACAATTTTCACCTTCCGATATTCCGGATTTACCTTTTCATTCGTATAAAAATCAATTAACATTTATTTCGCCTTATAATTCTACAAATAATTCTCTTCACGAACCTTCAGGAGCCGAATTTGTACTTAAATGTTTCGACGATAGTGCACAACAATCATACAATCAAAGTGATGCAATTAATTCTAATTCAAATAGCAGTGGTAAAAATAATAATAATAATAATAATTCTAACAGAAGTCAAGAAGTTAAATTTGAAGACGATGATTATTATAAAAAAAAAGACCGAAAGGATAAAGTACCTTCCCACGGCGAACAGAAAGAATACGTTTCAAGTAAAAATGATGATAAGTATAATGTTGAATCAAAGGCCTTTTCATCGTCGACAAGTGACAAAACGGTTTCTTCCATACCGGAACCAATGGGATTGTCATCGAATTCTATAAACAGCGAATCGGATCCGATTTATTCACCTGCTAGTCGTTCCAGTTTATCAACTTTTAATAAAAGGTGTTCCATAACGTTATCCATGCCCACTGACCCCAATTTTAGTTTTTCCCTATCCAGCAACGGAGAATTGGAACCAGAATTATTACCTCATTCTGAATCTGTTATTAATAAAACAAGTAATAAAAAATCCGAGGAATCATTGGCTAATTCCATCGAATCATTGTCCCAAATTCCCGCGGATAATAAAAAACTTTATGATCAGGAGTTATCGAAAAGTCAAACCTCTTTACAAAATTCATCCAAACAGAAAATTTCTGTTTCTTCGTTGGAAGTAAAAGATGTAACTGCTGTTGTAGACGAAAGTAAATATAAATCAAACAGGGATAAAAGACTATCATA